ATAATACACAATGAAAGTTCTAAAAATGTGTAAATAGGAAAAGTCCAAGAAGTCCAGAAGAAAAAAGAGGAAAAAGAAAAAAAGGAAAGTGTGAAAGAGCAAGTATTCTGATGGGACGAAAAAGGAAGTAGGCGAGAAAACGAACCTTGTATGATTTGATCAGAGCCTTGTAGGTTAAAAACGATAAGCAGCTTCGTTTGGACCTGAAAGTACCAAGAAAATAGCTTTATTTCCACAGAAATTCTTGGCATACGTTGCTCTAGAGCGTTCTCATATCTCAAAGGAATAGCAAAGTCCTGCTCATAGTCACAGGAGAAGTGCATAGATTTTCCATACAAATATTAAAAAATATGGCTGAAAAGAAATATATACCAAAGAGCGGCACTGCGATTCTAGTACGCTTTTGTTAGGCCTTGGTGGCAATGGAACGTCCCCCATCGCAAAGGGAAATGGTCACGGTAGGAAAGCGAGCATGACGTCAAGAAAAGTCATCGAATTAATCACAACGGAAATGCAGATACGTGACGCTGAATATCGTTCACCGCTTTCTTCACAGTTTGGAGAAAATTTCGCTCTTATTCGCTTTTGACAAGGATCTCTGACGCAGTTGCTCGGAGGGGTGGGGAGCGGGACCAATTGTCTCACTCTTACCACTGCTGCTTCATGGGAATGCACAGTGTCACCAGTGTGAGACCCTCTTGAACTATGAACAATGGGAACTAGCGAAAGCGCAAAATGCCCCTCCCCAAGCCAAACATCGCCGGATTTTTCTTTGCTCGCCAGAGTTAACGGGCCTAGTAATGCGGGTAGGGTCTGGTCGGGGGGGGGGGAAGGTACACTAGTGGCCGATTGTTGAGAATTATAACGTAAGCGATGAAGAAGCATAAAGGGTGTGCAACTGATTCATAAGGCAAATTTCTCTCCTGCGCATTATTGTATTTAACCCCTATTGTGTAGTGATAAAGTACTGCAACGTGCATTATGAAACGAAAAATAAATGAATTGACTTGTTATGATATATGTTAAACTCATATCAAAACATCAAGAGTAGAGGGTACCTTCAGCCGTCCAGAAAAGTTTGATTTAATACGAATCCCTCCACCCTAGAAATTTCCCCAGTACTACTTTCTCCACGGTCCATCGTGCCTAACTTCTTCCTAGATTTTCCACTTCTCCCTTTTCCGGTTTTTTTTCAGCAGTTTTTTCCAAAGAACTGACGTGAGAATGAGAAAACCCGAAAAGGTTACCAGGAAAATCTTCTCAAGAGAAAATGCGAACCGCCTCCCTCTCGTGGCCAGATACGACCCCTTCGCTGAAAACAGTGTACAATATAATATACCTAATTCGTTCGATTATTCCTGTTGCCATTACAAGGCTGCAGAGACTAATTAGCAAAAACCAGGTTCGTGCTGCAATTCTTAACCAGAAGGAATAACAAATCCTCTCCCATTCCTTCGCATAGTGCTCGGTTTCCCTCAAAATATTACAAACCGACACTACAAATTAAGGGGAATTTGGAAACATGAGTCCGGCACTATATTTTTAAGCGGATTAGAAACTCATTGTTAGGTGGCCATTTGAATTACGAACCCTAAAAAGTAAGTCAGAAATTACATGAAAGAAGCTGACTCACTTCTTCGGGGATGAAGCGGATGATATGCTCCGGATAAGCGACGAGAGCTTTTCGCATGCTTTTCTCTTCATTTCACGAATCATTTCCAGAGGCATTTCGGCCAACTCGGTGGAGTCAGACATTTCCGAGCTCATCTTCGACGCAAGGCGATGTGAACGCCGTAGAGCACTTGTCTCACCACAACCCTAACGAATAATCACTGATAATGCAAATTAATCAACTGCGTTAATAGTTGTGCAAACAGGAAATAGAAAGCCGAAAGCAGAAGGTTTGGATTCAGGTTGAACTTCAAATCT